AGTTTCTAACTCCACTGGTCAGTTCTCTGTCTTCCTCTTTAACTATCAGCACTTGTTTTCACTTGGCTGGACATCACACACTGACTTGACTTTCCTTTTACCTCAGTATTCACACCTTTTCAGTCTTCTTTTGTGTGATTCTTCCTCATTTCTACAATCTCTTAACTTTGGAGAATCTGAGAACTCAGGCCCTGGACATCTCCTCTGAATTTGTACTTATCGTTTTGGCAATATCACACAGTCTCATAAATTCAAGTATTATGTACATGTTGACAACTACAAAACTGACATGTCACATGCAGGCTTATTCTCTCAACTCAGGGTTCATCTAATCAACAGCCCACTCAACATTTCCGACTGGACTTCTATTAGTCATTTCAAATTTTGAGTCCCAAACTGAGTTCCAAATTTACTTCTCCCATAGACTTATTTCACCTTAGCTGATGGCTCCTTCTACAAACTCTACACCTTTGTAGATGGTGGCAATACTTTATTTTGAGATGCTTAAAGGTAAAACCTCAAGGCAAAAAAAATCATCGACTTCTTTCTGTTGTTGTCTTCAAATGTCCGTCATCTACTTAAAAATAATCCAGTGGGAGGAAGGAAGGGCCAGGAAGTGGATTGAGATATAGGTAAAACAAGATTAAATATGAGTTGACAACCACTAAAATGGGTCATTGTTGTTTAGTCGCTACGTCAGGTCCGATTCTTTGCAATGCGGTGATCTGCAGCACACAAAAATTGCCTGTCCTTCACCATCTCCCAGAGTTCACGCAAACTCATGTCCATTGAGTCAGTGATGCCATCCAACTATCTCATCCTCTGTCACTCCCTTCTCCGGCTTTCAATCTTTCCCAGCATCAGGATTGTTTCCAATGAGCTGGCTCTTTACATCAGGTAGCCAAAATATTGGAGCTTCAGCTTCAGCATCAGTCCTTCCAATGAATATTCAGGACTGATTTCCTTTACGATTGACTGGTTTGATCTCCCTACTGAACAAGGGTCTCTCAAGAGTCTTCAACACCACAGTTCAAAAGCATCAATTCTTCAGTGCTCAGCTTTCTTTACAGTCCAGCTCTAACACCTGTACATGACTACTGGAAAAACCATAGCCTTAACTATACGGACCTTTGTCAGCAAGGTGATGTCTCTGCTTTTTAACATGCTGTCTAGATTTGTCATAGCTTTTCTTCCAAGGAGCAAGCGTCTTTTCATTTTATGACTGCAGTCACCATCTGTAGTGATTTTGAAGCCCAGAAAAATAAAATCTGTCACTGTTTCCATTTTTTTCCGTCCATTTGCCATGAAGTGATGGAACCAGATGCCATGATCTTCATTTTTTGAAAGTTGAGTTTTAAACCAGCTTTTCCCACTCTCTTCTTTCACCTTCATCAAAAGCCTCTTTAGTTCCTCTCTAGTGGGTCATAGGAGATCCTCAGACCATTCCCTCTCCTTTTGTTTACATTTTCCACAGTAAAAAGTTTAACAATTTATGCTCAAATCCAAGTATCTCTCACTAACTGTAAGGCAACACCCTTGATCTCAGTCACCATAAAACAGCCTCTTAATTGAACTTCCTGCTTCCACCTTTTCCTTTCTTCTGTCCAAACTCAACACAACACTGAGAGATACTATTTAAATGGAAATCAGATCATGTCACTTCTCAGCTCGAAACTCTCTGATAGCAATCTACTTTACTCTCAGTAAAAACCAAAATCATTCCTGGGCCCTAAACCATCTGGCCGCACCTTTTTCAGCTGACCTTACCTCGTGCTACTCTCTCCCACGTTTACTTTGCTCTAGCCATACGAAATTCTGTGCTGTTCCTTGAATGCCCAGGCACCCTCTGCCCCCAGGTCTTTCTATTTATTGTCTCCTCTGAACTGAATGTTCCTCTCCCAGATATCCACAGACATCACTTCCTTCTGCTCTCTGGGTAAATGTCACTTTATCAGTGAATCCTTCCCTTCTCTTCCCTAAACTGTCAAATACTCATTCCCCAAACTCCTTATCTAATGCTCTTCTTTACTATCTTCATAGCGCTTTTTACCATCTAAATAATATTCCATATTTTATTAATACTTATTTTCTTTCACCACAGTGTAAGTTACATTAAGGCAGGAATTTGTGTAAGTTTGTACCCTACTTTATCTCCTTATCTGCAGCATCTACAATAATGCACGGCCATAGTAAGCACTTAACAGTACTTGCTGAATTAAATATAGGAAAAGAAATATTCCTCCCAGGGCTTAAACTAAGATGACGGTTTTAAGACTGCATATTCATGATGTATGTGTGTGCTCAGTCATGTCTGACTCTTTGCAACCCCATGGATTTAGTCTGCCTAGCTCCTCTGTCCACGGGACCTTCCAAACAAGAACACTGGGGTGGGTTGCCATTTCCTACTCCAGGGGATCTTCCTGATCCTGGGATTGAACTCAAATCTCCTATATCTCCTGCACTGACAGGCAGATTCTTTCCCACTCATGCCACCATATATTCATGATAATATATAAAAAATAGGTTAAATTCCTTTATTAAAAGTCCTCACATAAGCCAAATATATGCCAATTATAATAGACACAGAGAATAAAGTGACAAAACCTATGGACTTAATCTCCGCTTGTAAACAACCAGAACACTGGACAAACTGTTGTCAGACAGTGGACAAGAGGCAGTGTATGACTGTGATCCCTGAGAAAAAGAGGAGCAAATGAAAGTAGTCCTAAAACTGCCACAATTTTCTGCCTAAAGGTGATTTCCAGACTGCAGGAGCAGAAAGAGGGAATTCAAACAGCACCTGGATGCCTTGCTAAAGAGCAGAGAGAGAGGACGGGGCTCGGGGAGGCTAGGTTCCATGCAGATAGCGGCTGCCCCGTTGGATAGCACAGCCCTAGACTGATGCGGGGAAATGGAAACAAATCCACTGAAAACTGGACAGTGGTTGACTCCAGCTTGTAAGAGTTTGATTTATAAATATGTTCATCAAATTCTTCTAGAATATGTATTCCTTTTATAATATGAAAACATCCATTTAAAAATGTATGCATTAAATTCCTAATACCTAATTTGGACTGATAAGTGGCAATTTCACCAGATAGTTTTTAGAATTAAACTCTAATGGTGTAAGAACTGAATTAGCACTTAATCTCTAAAAGTAGTGTTTAATCTCTGGATACAAATTTCTATGCCAACAGAGTTCAGCAATGGAAATCTCTTTTTAATTAAAGGAGCTCAGTTTTAAGTTTTCATGTTAAAGTGAAATCAGTTGCTTCTTTAATAATATTTTGTTTGTACTGTGATGAATCTCAATAGGATTATTTTTAATGAATAAAAGATATTCTATCTCAGAGACATCATGGATTTCTTTGACAATATAAAAATCAATTAAATGTTGAAACTTCCAGTCATTTGTCTAATTGTATATCATAACTAAAAGGGGAAGAATTTGCACTTAGGTTATGTAAACTTTAATAAATACTTTCATAACCATAGAAAATAAAATAAGCTTAATGGACCTAAATTGAGATGAATAAAATTAATATTAGATCTAATATTAGATGTTTTTAGAAAGTTGAGGGAATATACTATAAATTCTTCCAATCTGTCTATGACCTCCTTACATTCCCTTCTTCAAACCAATTTGCTTCAATTTAGTAACAATAAGACCTCTTAATGGGCCCCATTCATGCCTACAATATGCTGTCTGAATAATACATTTGAGACATCAGCATTCTGGTGTTTAGGCTGTAGCTTAACTCTGATTTTTAAAAGAATGTTAATGTCCCATTCATTTTATTGTTTCACCCATTGTTTGAAAAGAGAGTGGGAAAAACCCATTAGCTCTTCTGAAATGTCAGCAAATGTGGGTAACTAAATGATTAGAGCTGTCAATCCACGGCACATCACATGTCTTTAATTCAGCAATCTGTGTATATGTGGGCATCGTTGCCAACTTGAGTTCAAACTCTTAACAGAAATAAGTCTAAGTTCTACCCAGCACATCCCTCACTACTAAAAGTTTTGCTACATTAAAAAAAATAATCTAACCATGCTAAAGACAAAGCTTGGGTGTATTAAATGGTATTTGTGTGACTAAATTTGAAAATAGCACTTTGAGATGTGACAAAAGACCATTTTAATGCAAATGATTCTTTTCCCCCAAACCATAACCTGTACTGTTTTGGAAATGCTGGTTGTCCCTGAGTAGCTCACAATTTCAATAGGAAACAAGATATTCACAAACACACATCTAGAGTGAAATTCTGAGGTAATTAGTAATGTTATAGTACTATAGTTTTGTGGTGTAAACCCTAGAATTAAGGCCTGATGTTATGTGCTTCCTTGACATCTGATGAAATCAGGAGGGTCTCAAATAGCCTATAACTCTTGAGTTCTCTTTGCTAGTCTGCTCCCAGGGAAAGGGTCATGTAGCCAAACAACCCTCCTCATAAGGGACTAGCTGAGTAACAAGTTTCAGTTCCCTGCCAGCCTGCAGAATTATTCAAACAAGCCAGCCACATCCTCCAGTGGAAACCAGGGCTGATCTCATTCTTTTGACACTGAAAGGCCTGCCTCCCACAGCCTCTGGTTGCTCACTGTTCCCATGTGGTCCTGCATGGCATGATGTCCTGCACCCCAGCTGTGAGCATATGTGGCTAATAAACTGCTGCCAGTCTCATGTGTCCTGTCCCGTGTCCAGGGTCGTGTGTTCAGCCGTCCCCATAACCCCAGGACAGCACTCTCTCCTTTGTCAACAACATGCACAGGAGGGGATTAGAACAGGCTATGTACCTCAGTGCTATAAAAGGCCCAGTTTTAGAAAAAGATCCTTATAATGGCTGCCTAAAAGGGTTCTGTGAAGTAGGTTGTACTGGATGGAGAATAGTGTTGACAATTTGGTTTTGCATGTGGCTTTGGTCTCATTTCTGCAATTCTCTGCTGAAGGAGCATGCAGCCAAGAAACCACAGCCAAAGAGCAAACAAAATACTGATTTTATTAACTGGACAAGGACCTAAAAGTGGATTACAAGTAAAAGCTGGATCACAGAAAATCATTTAGAGCAGGAAGCCAAAGTCAGCCCTCTTACTTCCAGTGCCCTCTCCTTGAATTCTATGTCCTCTCCAAAGAGCTGCATGGTCATGGATGACTGCTGCGTCAGGTCCATCCAGCTGCAGGGAGAAGAGGGAGGGTTCTGGTGGCCAGGTCAGCTGAGACAGACCGTGTCTAGTTTGTCCATTTCCTGGAGACAGGAAGCACAAGAGAGGGCAGGGGCAGGCACCACCCCTGAGCATGGACCTTTAATCCGGTGAACCCGCCCTCTAGTAAAACTGTCCCAATCAAGGTCCTGTTCTGACAGTCTGCTGAGCAAATTTGTTCTCCAGGGCAATGAAAGCAGGTGGAGAGAGGGGTTCCAGAAATGCGGCAAGTGTCCTTCTAACCCACAAACAAAGATGAAAATAAATTCCTTCTCCCTAAAGGAAGAGAAGTATAACCACATAAGTATAAGTGCATCCACAAAACAGAGTAAAGCAGAAATGAAGATGGTTTGTGGTAAAAGAATACACTATTTGGACCAGATGATCAAAACTGTGGGGCTGTGAGACACATGGAGCCAGTGCTAAGACAAAGATGCATGCCTCCTGAGTGTGTGAAGTCCAAAGCCAAGAGACAGCTGAAACACCCAAGGAGAAATATATAGTCTGATTAAAACAAAAAACTTTTCTTGCTCAAACAGAAAGGTCTCTCTGCAAAATAAACAAAAACACTAATTCAAAAAGATACATGCACCCCAATGTTCATAACAGCATTATTTACAATGGCCAAAATATGTAAGCAATCTAAAGTGTCCATCAACAGATGGATAACGTAGATGCTATACACACACACATATATACATACATACAAACACACACCCCTCAACCATAAAAGAATGAAATTTTGCCATTTGCAGTAACATGGATGAACCCAGAGGGTATTATGTTTAGTGAAATAAGTCAGACAGAGAAAGACAAATACTGTATGTTATCACTTAAACGTGCAATCTGAAAAATAAACTAGTGAGTATAACAACAAAAAAATCAGACTCATAGCTATAGAGAACAAACTAGTGATTAACAGTGAGGACAGGAAGGGGGGAGGGGAAACAGCAGTAGGAGGTTAAGAGGTACTAACTACTACGTATAAAATAAGTAAACTACAAGGATATATTATACAACACAAGGAATATAACCAATGTTTTATAATAGCTATAAATCAAATCCAACCTTTAAAAATTGTGAATCACTATGTTGTACACCTAAAACTTATATAATATTTTATATCAACTATACCCCAAAAATATGAAGGTGGTCCAGACTCTGGTACCCTTAACTAGGAAAATTACAAAAGCAGGGAGAAACCAGTGACTGGAAGAGAAAGAGCAGGGACTACATAAAACTTACGATTTTTTGGCTGCTTATTCAGGAGCATCTACTTAGAATCTGCCAGATGCCAAGCACTGTGCCTGGGAGTAGGTGCTCAGAGAGGAAGATGAGACAGTTTCAACTCTGGAGGCATTTATATCCTGACAGTAATGCTAATAGATAACTAGTGTCTGAGCACCAACCGCGTGGCAGGTAGTACATTACAGATGGTCTAATTTTAGTGTCACAAAAACACTATGAGGCAAGCAGGCAGGGCCATTATTACCACTTTACTATGAGGAAATTGAGGTTCAGAAAGATAAAACTTACTCAAAGTCATGTTGCTAAGAGATGGCTCAGTTCCAGGACATAGTATGTAACCACTGTGCTATATTCCTTCAAATACTGAATGAGAGGAAAGAGAATATTAAAAATAGGAAGTAGAATCTCAGCTCCACTTATACTCAGTTCAGAAAAAACACAGTGTAATGAATCTAAGTAAAAAAGTATAAAAAATTCTTAGAGAAGGTTAAAATAAAAAGTTTAAAGAGTAGTCACCATAAGAAAAAAAATCCCAAGTCTCACATTACTATATATGAATAGAAAATAATAGGAAGAAAATAAAGTTTGGGATATAACCCCATGAAGTATATCCAAAATAAAATTACATAACTTCTATATATTTTATTTTATGTAACCTCAACCATTCACTAGGGAAATAACATACTTAGAATCATTCTCTTTTCCCATAAGGGAGACTTTCTGTTCTCATCCAATCTAATTAACTCATATTCCAGTTAAAATAAATGTCTAAAGGTAATTATTTGGTCCTGTCTTCTGTACTATTCTGGCCTGTCTGTAGAGACAGAAATATGAGTTTGGAGCAGATTACCTTGTGTATGAGCTTCTCAGCCCAATATTCTCACACAGATAAAATATGGCTTAAATAGAGGATTAATAGCAGGCTCAACAAACAAGCAGAGCCTAAAACATAAACAAAAAGCAAAAGTTAAGGCCAGGCTGCTGCCAAAGAACATGCTAAGACAAACTGTATTTAACACACAAGGGAGCTGCCTCATCCTTTGAAACTAACCCCAAGAGGGTGAGGTTAGAACACCACTATGGCACAACTGATGCACTTAATGAAGGGAAGTTCAACAAAATTCTTTCATGTATAAATGTTCCTTTAACTTGTGGCAGCATGTAGGGTAGGTGTTAGTATCTGAGTGTACAGACAAAGGCACAGAGGCTCAGAAAGGTCACTCTTGACCAATCTTGGTTTCTAGCAAGGAAGCCCAGGCCCCTGTTTGTTGTGGTAATTTATTTCCTTCAACAATGACTCAAGTTTTCCCTGCAGTCCTCGTGGGGTTGAGTAGCCATTATCCAAATATTAAGTAAAGACTGTGGTATTTCCCACACCTATTCTCTACCTTACAAAAAATTTTTTGCAATGCTGCCTACTTTCTCTTAAAATACAGTAACATTTCTTTTCCTGAATCTTACAACCCATTATTAAAGCCTCAGAGGTTGGCAGAGGAAGGAAAGAAGGAAGGGAGGAAGGAAGGAGGAAAAGAAGCAGCAGAGAGAAAGCTTAAATCAGATAAACAGGTAAATAGTTTGCTCCCAGGCTTACTATAAGAGGATAAAAACATGGTTAAGTTTCCAAACTCCTGCAAATCTTATAAATACTGAAATAATTAAATACAGCTTGAAGCACATAATACCATTATAGTTACATAAGGGGAGAAGGATATGTTAGAATAATAGTTTAAGAGTGATGACTTGTGAAATGGTCATTTGCCATAGCCACTTTCCCCCCCACCCCCCCATACCACTTTGAAAGGAATGATACAGGTATAGGAGAAGGGAATGGCAATCCACTCCAGTGTTCTTGCCTGGAGAATATTCTTGGCAGAGCAGCCTGGCAGGCTACAGTCCATGAGGTCACAAAGAGTCGGACATGACTTTGCCTGTATGTACTGAACTGAAGGAGGTACTTGAGGTAAACTAAACTAATCCTTATTAATTAAAAGTGTTTTTAAAGTGAGTTTCCTACTTACAACCTCAACTGTGATTTCCTTTTAGGTATATCCTACCTTCATTTTTTTTTAATGGAAGCTTTAAGTTAGCCCCTAACTCTTCACTTTTGGTACAGAAGGAAAGTAGTTTTTAATCTGTCATAGGTCTATATGATAGACCATCCATCCATATAAAAATGACTAGTATTGTTTAGCAGTTCATTGGCATAGTCTGAAATTGTGGTGCCATGTAAAGTCATGAGTTTACATGGAGTGGCGGTGATTTGTGATTGTGTGTTTATTCTTGGATTGTTATAGTTTGCTTTACCAACCATGGAACCGAAATATCAGCCCTAACTGCTGCACACTTGCCAGAATGCACTGTGTCTGGTGACATTTTACACGTTGATAGTGGAAACGTCCACTTTTCACTCCCCTTCCCCCACCACTGAATGGTCATCGTGGTCGCCTCCCCAAGTGCAGCTTCCTGTCTGGGAGGTTTCCACTTCTAAAACACTGGCCAATTTTACTCTTCCCAGTTATTTTTACCTACTCTCATAATACCATAATGACATTAGGAAAACCTGTTTTAGAGTCTTATGTTCAATTTTTACTGCTATGGTTTAAAGGAAGAGGTAGAGAAACTAGATGTAGAGGCAATGTAGTATAAAAAAGAGACTGATCTGAAACCAAATCCTAGCTGTATCACTGTCCAGCTGGGTAACCTTCCACAAGGGGTAAAGATGGGGAAGAGCGGTGGGAAATCATACTTATTGAGCACCCACTTTGTGCCAGGTGCCTTATGCATATCTTATTTAACATAACAATCCTACAAGATAAAAGCTTTTATCCCTAATCTTCCATTATCTTTTCTTATTCATTTATTTTTTAAAGATTAATAAGAGGCATATTCCAAATCTAAATCTCAAAGAATTTAAATAACTTGCCCAGAACCATAGGGCTTTAATCACAGAGCTAGGATTTAAACTCAGGTCTACTAACTCTGAAGTTCAATAAATAGTCATTCTTTACCCCAAGGGAAAATACAGAGAATAGCAATTTGTATCATCCAAAGGATCAAAGATAGATTTTTTATGGGCAGAAGTGGAAGAATGTAAGTTGCTTAGCTTAATAAGTAGTTTTAAACATTGTAAATCAACTATTCTTCAGTAAAAAAAACTTTTAAATTTAAAGGTGATTTTAATTACCATTTTTAAAATGTCAAGATTCTCTAAGGAATTTGTTGGACAATTATTATCTGTATCCATAAAACACTTGAAAATGAAAGGTAATGTACAGTTGGTATTGTATAACGAAGAATTTTTCTGGGACAAGCTTGCTCATAGGGTGTATTGTTTGCAAGGTACTTTACTAGGTGCTGAAAATCTCAAATGAATAGACTAAAATCTCATGGTCCTATGAGAACAGGCCAGAATATACAAGGAGCTCAATATATATTGGATAGCTCAATAATTAGGTAAGATGTGGTAATGACGTGCAAGGAAAATTACTGTATCTCTGAAGTCTTCAAGTAGACAAAGGGAAATAACCTAAAAGAGAAGCTAGATGAAAACAGAAAACCATCAAGATGACAGCTTAGACTAGTGATTTCTAACTTTTTGATAATGGTAACACCCCAACCATGTTTCATTTTGTATGTTCCTTAAGAAGTTCTATGTCGGGGTGTGTGTGCGTGCGTGCATGCATGTTCAGTCATGTCCAACCCTTTGTGATCCTATGGACTATAGCCTGCTGGGCTTCTCTGTCTGTGGAGTTTTCCAGGCAAATATACTGGAGTGGGGTGCCATTTCCTATTTCAGGGGATCATCTGGACCCAAAGATCGAACCTGTGTCTCTTGCATCTCCCGCATTGGCAAGCAGATTCTTGACACTGAGTCACCTGTGAAGTTGCCTCTACGCCCACAGCTATTCATAAATCTTAGCTACATAATCACCCTACTTAAAACAGTACCAAAATGGCCCTCTACTATTTTAGCCACCCAAGACTAGCCTTTCATTCATCCTTTGGTTACACAGTTTCTATATGAATGATCACAGCTGGATTATTTTTAAATGAATATTGAATTATGAAATTATAGAACCCTTCAAATTTATAAAATATAGTCTTCTTCCTTCAGTCAGATGAATTACCTAACTATTGATTTCTAACAATGATTTTGAGTAACCCAGGCTGTAATTGTTTTAGTTATTTCAAGAAATTTCATAAAATTAAGGTTTTAACTTACACATCTATATGAATAAATCCATACTGGTGAATACTTCCAAGGTCACTTATATCGGAGTGATCTGTATGATTTATACTAGACATCTTTACTTTTTAAGAGACACAATACTTCTTACTTGTTATATAATCAATCAACTTTGAACTTGGACCAGAGGGAAATTTACAGTCCCTTTCATATCTGGAGAAGGGAAAGGTTACCCACTCCAATACTCTAGCCTGGAGAATTCCATGGACTGTATAGTCCATAGGCTCACAAAGAGTCGGACACAACTGAGCAACTTTCACTTCACTTCACTTCACATCTGTAATTCATCCGAACTTATCCATCCTCAAAGATAAACAAAACTAACATTTCTCATTTCCATTGCCCTCAAATTAATGTGTATTTTGGCTTAATAAAAGTCTTATAGTCTAAGGTAATGAAATAAAGACAATGTAATGCATGTACTTCATGAATTTTCTATCCTACTAATTATAAAAATAGGAAGACTACTAACAGCCAATTTTTAATGTGTGCTCCCTGGCGGCTCAGACAGTAAAGAATTGGCCTGCAATGCAGGAAACCTGGGTCGGGAAGATCTCCTGAAGAAGGGGATGGCAACCTACTCCAGTATTCTTGCCTGGAGAATCCCAAGGACAGAGGAACCTGGCGGGTTACAGTCTATGGGGTTACAAATAGACATGACTGAGCAACTAATACTTTCATAATTTTTTCACTTTACTTATGAGGATAAGTTATCTGCATGTATTTTGTAATTTAATCCTTACAACAAATGTAAATGAGGCCAAAAAACCCTACCTTTAAAACAATAAACAAAATTAGAGGCAGCTTTGTTTATTTGCCGTATTCTTGAGATCCTCACCTGTATCCCATCACTGAAGAAAGAACTGAGAAGAAGCAGGAGCTTCCTGAGCCTCAGCTTTCCCATCAGGTTATACAACCGTACCTTCATTATTTTTGGCATTTTCCTATGGTTCGAAAAAAAGTGTTGACAATTTTCTGCATCTATAACATTTTGGATGAGCAATTTCCATCCTATTGTGTTTCCTCACATATGGTGTTCTAGCTCAAATAGCACTGGTATTTTTATCTTGCACAATTTAAGTACACCACTTTGAATTCTTCTTTGCTGACAAGTATCCAAATTACCTAACACAAATGAGAAAACTCCATGTGTGTTCATTGATTTTCAGACAAAAATTTCCAACAGAATCACTGTATTTTACAGCTAGAACAGATCATAAAGACAATCTAATCTATCTCTCTTTAGAAGTGATAATCTACAGCAGAGAGGTTAAAGAGTCTCTGCTAGGTTAGGTCAACTAGTTGATGGTAGAAAAAACTAATAGCACTTCAGTACTTTTTTCTACATAAAAATGTCAATAGTTATTATAAAAATCCATATTATTTTTCAGTGTACTGCAGAGGATGTTTCAATAATAAATGATGAGCACATTTTTATAATATTGTATTATTATCAGTACTGAAATTGAAAATTTGTGACTATGATTTATATAATATCAGTGAGGTTCAGAATTTTCTCCTGTATCCATAAACAGATTGTGACTTCCTTGTAGGTTGGCAGAATACCTTTTTTTCTTTATATAAATAAAATTAAAGATAGTTGACTTACAATGTTTCAGGTTTACAGCAAAGTGATTTAGTTATATACATACACATATATTACTTTTCACATTATTTTCCATTATAGGTTATCACAAGGTACCAACTATAGTTCCCTGTGCTATATAGTAAACCTTTGTTGTTTGTTGTGTATCTGTTTTTTTAATTAGAAATCTAGCATTCTATTCATACTAAGTTAAACAAGTAGAATCAAAATTTCATAAATTTTTTAGCTAGGCAAAAATTCGTAAGTTTTCTAAAATATATATAGTATGTTATATACACTATATATGTATACAAAGGCCTATGCTTGATAAAGGCTTGACAAAGAACATCCAAAAAAAAAAAAGCAAGAGACAGAGAAACTGGAAAACAGACTAAACGAAATGTAAGCACTGAATAGAAATAGAAAAAGTGAAACACACTAGATAAAAGGCACAATTTCTTTTTAAATAACCTTCCTTATATCTCTTAATAAACCTACACATACATGAACTACTTAACAGCTAGAAAGAGACTGACATAAATATATTTATATTTTAGACTAATACTATATGACTCAAAATAGAATCAAACAACTGTCATCCTGTATGAATGCAGGTGAATATTTTGTTTGGAGAGACAGAAAGTTGAGAAAACTCCTTTTCTTTTTTCCTATCAAACAATTTAGATTGTCTCTGACTGTGAGAGGATTTAGGCGCTTCAAGAGATTGGTGAAGACTGGAATAGAAAGTAGATGGAATGATGAGAGTTGACTGAGTCTTAAGACATCTGGTGGTATATGCAGATCAAATTGTTCAATAAAAATAATAGCTAATAATAACTGAGGACTTAGTATATGTTTGGCTCCCCTCTCCGTGCTCCTGAGTTAAATCATCTACACTTTGCAAGTCAGTTTAGTCACTCATTCATGTCCAGCTCTTTGCGATCCCATGGACTGCAGCATGCCAGGCTTCCCTGTCCATTACTAACTCCTGGAGCTTACTCAAACTCATGTCCATCAAGTCGGTGATGCCGTCCAACCATCTCATCCTCTGTCATCCCCTTCTCCTCTCTCCTTCAATCTTTCTCGGCATCAGGGTCTTTTCCAATGAGTCAGTTCTTTGCATCAGTTGGCCAAAGTATTGGAGTTTCAGCTTCAGCATCAGTCCTTCCAATGAATATTCAGGACTGATTTCCTTTAGGACTGACTGTTTCATCTCCTTGCAGTCCAAGAGACTCTCAAGAGTCTTCTCCAACACCACAGTTCTAAAGCATGAATTCCTCCTCACTCAGCTTTGTTTATAGTCCAACTCTTACATCCATACATGACTACTGGAAAAACCATAGCTTTGACTAGACAGATCTTTGTTGGCAAAGTAATGTCTCTGCTTTTTAATATGCTCTCTAGGTTGGTCATAGCTTTTTTTCCAAGGAAGAAATTTAATTTCATGACTGCAGTGACCATCTGCAGTGCTTTTGGAGCCCAAAAAAATAAAGTCTCTCACCATTTCCATTGTTTCTCCACCTACTTGCCATGAAGTGATGGGACTAGATGCCATTGATCTTAGTTTTCTGAATGTTGAGTTTTAAGCCAACTTTTTCACTCGCCTCTTTCACTTTCATCAAGAGGCTCTTTAGTTCTTCTTCACTTTCTGCTATAAGGGTGCTGTCATCTGCATATCTGAGGTTACTGATATTTCTCCCAGCAATCTTGATTCTAGCTTGCATATAACTTAAACAAGCAGGGTGACAACATATAGCCTTGACGTACTTCTTTCCCAATTTGGAACCAATCTGTTGTTCTATGTCCAGTTCTAACTGTTCCTTCTTGACCTGCATTACAGATTTCTCAGGAGGCAGGTCAGGTGGTTTCATATTCCCATCTCTTGAAGAATTTTCCACAGTTTGTTGGAAAATTTGCAAAAAACTTCACAAAACGTTAGGTTATTCTTTCCCCATTTTGTGAAGAAACTGAGGCTCAGAGAAATCAGAACATTCACTCAACTGAAGCAGCTACTCGATAGTGGAATCAGAATTCAAACACTGATGCCCGCCAAGGCCTATGCTCCTAACCACAGTTTAATAGTTAGGATACAACCTAACTGAATAGATGAGTATGAGGCACTTAATTCAGTGCAGAGCAAATGCTGGGCTCCCAAGTAGGAGTTCGCTTACTGTTAATTCCCTGCTTTTAATTTCAACCCACTCTCCTCATACTCATTTACTCATCTTCTCCTGAACTCCGAGTACACATACATATAACCGTATACTCACACACACTCCCGTCTGTTTATCAACAAGGTCCACACTCAGGTGTCTGGGTAGTGAAAGTGAAAGTTGCTTAGTCCTGTCCGACTCTTTGCAACCCCATGTACTATACAGTTCATTAAATTCTCCAGGCCAGAAGACTGGAGTGGGTAGCCTTTCCCTTCTCCAGGGATCTCCCCAACCCAGGAATTGAACCGGAGTCTCCTGCACTGCAGGTGTATTCTTTACCAACTGAACTATCAGGGAAGCCCACTACGTATCAAACTTGTATTCATTTACTCTTCTTCCTCTTAGGACTTAAGCTCGTTTCTGTACAATGATTCCTGCAATCCTACTTCAAAAAACCTCTGCTGACCCGTATCTTTCAAGGTAAACGTAAACACATACCAAGACTGAGGCTGGGTTACAAAATATATGCATGTGCATAGTCCAGTATACAGCAGTGGACGCAAGCCATTAGCTGCTTCTTTCAGGAGCTTCTTCTTTTTAGATAAGGGCTATATGTATAAGCCACGATCTGCTGCCACAGCCTCCAGCCCCCTCCACCTGATTCTGAACACGGCTCAGGCTGGAGCAGATGCCCACAATGCGCGGAGTCTCATTTGTAGGAGATGAGTGTTCCCTGGCTTTATTTTATTGTTTGCCGCCAGCCAGGGTAAGGAGGATGTGTCAGAAATCGTGGAGAACAGCGACAGCCAAGCTTTCTCGTGCAAAGACTAAGCAGGTCAGGAGCAGCAAATCATGACTTGCACAGTATTTAATGGATCATGGGAAAACAAGCTTCTCTCCTGCCTGCCTGCCTGCCCGCCCTTTTGGAACCAGCTCTGGCAGACGTGGGCAAAACCAGGGCGGCGTCCTGCGGGGCTCTAGAGGGCGGGCGATGCAGAGACGCGAATAACTCAGCCCCTCACCCCCGCACCAGGGGCCGAGCGGGACCCCGGAATCGCCCCTTGATGATCCCAAAAGACAGACTGGGCCCTGCTAAATATCCCACCCGGCCGGATATAGGGAGCGGAGCTTGCAGCGGGTCCGGGAAGTACACAGACAGATCCAGCCAGCCACTCCCTCCCCATCACCAGCCTCAACAGCTCTCCGAGGCGCCCACGGGGTTACTGCGCCTGCGCAGTCCTGGTCCCGCCACTCCCACGCTTTCCGAGGCCTCCTGCCCAGCTTGCTGTCGCTTAGCAACGCACTAGTCACAGTCGCGGGTTCTCCGCGCGTCCCTTTCCTGGCAGGGTTTAGTCCATGGTTTTCCCGTGAGGCTCCTTATTGCCTGGAGTCAGACCGTAGGAGCCCATGGAGGGAAAGCAGGATAAGCAGCAGTAAGTGCTGAGCATTGGTTTTCTATTTCCCCTTCCGAAAATGTTTTCTTCCCTGGGGGGGGGGGGGGGAGGATTAAGTGAGATGCGAAGCGTGTCTTCAAGCCATCAGGGCCTTTCCTCTGCCAATCCCCTTTCCTACTCTAACTTCTAGATTTGAGTGCAATAATACTTATTAAAACGCACTGTTTACTGAGCGCCTACAATGTATCAGGCACTTTACATGCATTGCTTGGCCTAAAATTCTTGACACAATACCATCTTGAATCACCCATTTCCTCCTGACATCTAATTTATTAGCAAATTCTGTAGGCTTTACCTTGAAAATAAATGCAGAATCCACCACGATCCAGCATCTCTACCGTCATTCCCATTCAAGGCAGCGTTCTGCGTGGTCTTTTTACAGCATAAATTTAGATTCCTGTTCATCCTTGGCCACTGCAAAGGAAAAGGCAGGGCTCCTACAGTGGTCACTGCGGCCTACACAATGTGTCCTTTGCCTTCCTTGGCCTTGTCTGGACTTGCCCCCCTCTGACAGGGTTCTGCTCCAGCACTGAGGCCTCCCTGCTACATCTGCAGTCACTTTCTGAGTGTGGTCCCCAGAACAGCATCAGCATCACCTGAGCACTTATTCAAAATGCACATTCTTCAGGGTGGGGAGGGGTTCCCCTCCTCTCCAAAGATGCACCATATCAGAAACTCTAGAAGGGCATGATCACTGGGTGTTAACAAAGCCTCCAGGTGATTCTGATGTACCCTAAATTTTGAGAACTATTCAATCAAGCAGTTTGTTACAGCTTGTTAGGTCGTGGAGCCAGGTTATTTGCTTCCAAAGGCTATTATTTTTGTTTCTCTAAAATGGCCATTCTCAAATTTCAATGTATATGAGAATCACCTAGGGTTTCCTGGGAACCTGCCCCAAAGATTGATTTGGTAGCTTAGGGAGGGGGCCCTTGAATTTACATTTCTGACAAATTGACAACCAATGCCAGGGCTGCTACTCCAGGAACCACGCTTGAAAAAGTGCCGTCCTAAGGTCAGGTACTTCAGCTGCAAAGCTTTGGCAGCTACAGTTCGCTTGCTAGAATGCACTCCCTCAAATACCCACTTACTCTCTCCCCTCTTTCCTATCTTTTTTCATTGCCACCTTCATAATGCAGCCTCCACCTTATCTAAAAATGCCACCTACCTCCCATGTACACGGACTTCTTTCCCCCATTCCCTGATTTATTTTTGTCCTCAGTACTTAACAGACTATATGTTTTACTTTTTATTTCTCAACTGCATGCACCTGCTAAAATGTAAGCTCTGTTTACTTTGTTGCTTCTCTATCCTAGTGCCTCAAACAGCACGGAGCATATAACTCAAATATTTATTGAAAGAATGAATTATTTAATGTTATTCTCACATGTCTTATGATAGGTATTAATTGTCCTTACCGTGCAAAGAATTGGAAACCAAAGCTCAGACAGTAAATGGCAGAGTGGGGGTTCCAACCCAGGTCTGACTTCAGAGCCCACTAGTATTTTTAACCGGAGAAGGCAATGGCAACCCACTCCAGTACTCTTGCCTGGAAAATCCCATGGACGGAGGAGCCTGGTAGGCTGCAGTCCCTGGGGTCGCTGCGAGTCGGACACGACTGAGCGGCTTCGCTTTCACTTTTCACTTTCATGCATTGGAGAAGGAAGTGGCAACCCACTCCAGTGTTCTTGCCTGGAGAATCCCAGGGACGGGGGAGCCTAAATCTAGAGCCACTCAGACCACAACTGCTTAATCCCAGGGACGGGGGAGCCTGGTGGGCTGCCGTCTATGGGGTCGCACAGAGCTGGACACGACTGAAGCGACTTAGCAGCAGCAGCAGCAGTATTTTTAACTGTGCTTTCTTTCTAGTAAGAGATAACTAAGAACTCCATATTTCACATTTATGAGTCAATCTAGAGCCACTCAGACCACAACTGCTTAATCAAATGACTGCATCAATATGTGAGCAAACAGCCGCAGTCTTTTCCTTAAGGACCTGATTCTAGTACAAATGTACTGTTGGGTTACAACTCTGAGAAGCAGATGGAAAAAACTGATGCCAGAAGTCTACAATGATAAATAATGGCCTTTAAATAAATTCATTTCTGAAAAGATAACAGGAAAAGCCTTTGAAGTGATTTACACTTTCGTTCGTTCTCATGAAGTCGCTCAGTCGTGTCCGATTCTTTGCAACCCTGTGGTCTGTAGCCCACCAGGCTCCTCTGTCCACGGGATTCTCCAGGCAAGAATACTGGAGTGGGTTGCCATTTCCTTCTCCAGGGGATCTTCCCAACCCAGAGATCGAACCCAGTTCTCCCGCATTGCAGGCAGACGCTTTTACCCTACTGGTAATCATTTTTTTCCAAACACAGAGAGTAGCTTCTGTTGGGACACAGGGAACTGGAATCCAAGGGTCCTGAATATTGTGTGAGTTCTGGGTGAGGGCTGGGTGTGTACAGCTAACATAAAGCCAGAGTGACAAACAAGTCCAGCAGATTCACCAGAAATGTGTGGACAGTATAGTGGCAAGATGCTGGTCTGGGTGTTGGGGACATAATGATGAATGAAACCCAGTCATCACCTTCATGGAAATTAATGGCTTGTAAAAGACATTTGTAGTGCTTACTAGAACAAGTAAACAAAAATAGGTACATAAATAATAAATCGTAGTTTGTGTTATGGAAGAAATGAACAAAGTACTAAAAGAGAGAATACATGGTGTCTGAGGGGGAAGTCTAGGAAAAGCTTCTGGATTCTTTACTTACTGAACTGAAGGTAGGCAGTCTGGCTGCAGAAGGGAAGGGAGAGTGGCTTGAGTGGCTGAAGAGATTAGCTGGAGCAGGGTCACACAGGGTTTCAGAGCTATGATAAGGAAGAAGTGTTTTATCGTAAATGCAATGGAAAGCCACTGGAGGGTTTTAATTGGAAAATGTGACAAGATAGAAGAGATGGACTCGGCTTTGGTTTGAAGTAAGGTACGGACGTGGACAAGGCTAAACAGAACTACTCACTTTCTCTATAAATTCTGAATCTTATTCACTCACCTTCCATGGGTCAGGGCTTTGATTTTTTTCTATATAAAAAGTATCTAAACTCAGTATTCTTACCTTTATTTTCAAGTATCTGAAATTTTAAAAAAGGAACCTTTTATAAAGTCTATTACTCATTTGAAAGGAGAAAAACTTTATAAACTATTCCTTTAAAATATTTTTATTTATAACATTTGAAAAAATCAATAATTTTTATTTTTATTCCAGGGTAGTCATTAGAAGCAAAAAATGATGAGATTGAATTAGCTGTTCTGATGTCTGCACAGTGGTCTCTTCCTGAAAAGATAAATAATAGTGCTCATTTGGTAGCTTTTGTAAGTCTGCTAGGTGAGCCTTTAAAATTAAATAGATGGCTTTGTCACCTTGTCCAGATGACTAAATTTACTACATAACTAACTTAAAGAAGATGAATTAAAATTAGCATGTGACATAGGCACCTGAATAAATACTGTAAACATGATTTGTAGGAATGATCAAATCACTACTCTTTACTCCAAGCAAATGTCTGTACGCTGCATTGGTATAATAGTAATAAAGAATCACGATTAAAACAAATATCTTTATCTTTTATATGATTTCAAATGAGAGGATACCTTCTCAAATTTTAATTGCACCAGCCCCTAATATTTATTAATAAAGCCTAAATTGTCTTGACACCGAAATATATTTAAATCTTATTTTATTTAATTATCAATCAGCACTGAAATGTTCATTGGAATAAAGGATATACTATTTAATTCTGTCTTTCAGACAGCATAAAATAGAAGATGCTGGTATACTGTATGTAACTGAAAAAGAAGAATTCAAACATGAAAAAAAACCTGGAAAAAGTATTCAACATTCAAAACCATGTGTTGGGAGAGGACGTGTATATTATGCTAAATTCATTAACACAAATGTAAGAACATGCAATGAACCAGTTCCCTACATAGATGTCAAAAAAGAGCCAGAAAATCAGGTTGGATTGATGTTCATTACATACAAATATAGATTTAGATTCAGAAATGTTTTGCAGGCTCATTTTGTCACAGACTACTTAAAGGATGTGACATAGGCTAATACTTTTTATAATTCAATAGTTGAAAGCAGTGATCTGGAACAACACTCAGAGATCATTTCTGCATACAAACAATGAGTGTGTGTATAGAAGGAATCCAGATAATTTTTTTCTCAGCTGGGTCAGGTCATAGTCACTCAGCAGTGCTTAGGGGGAGGAGCGGCTGGCTATTGGAGAAATCTCTTCTATAATATTGTATCTGCGACAGATGTTATAATACAAACATTTCCATGATACTCAGTAATTCAAATACTTTCTATAAAATAATAGCTACCATTTATTCCAAGTGTGTGATGTGCTAGGAATGAGCCAAGAGTTTTATATAAATTATACCCTTTAATCTGCACAACTATTTCTAGGAGGTGTTATTGGAAATAGTGATAACATGCTATAATATAGTAAATTAACATAACCTGAGATTACAGAGTAAGCCAATGTCACAGTCACGTTTCTGACCCAGGGCTGTCGGTTTAGCCAAATCACACTTTCATTCACTATTATATTAAATATATTCCATTATCTTTTTTTTAGAATCAGATTTGTTGAGGTTTATTGTATTAGTTTCCTATGTTGCTTTAGTGATTACCACAAATTTAAAACCAGAGCTTAAAGCAACACAGTCAATCTCACTGGCCACTAGCAGAGCTGGTTCCTTCACCAGGCTCTAAGGAAGAACCCACTTCCTGCCTTTCCCACCTTCTAGAGGTTGCTGCATTCCTTGGCTCACAGACCCCTCTTTAAAGCCAACAACATAGCATCTTCAAATCTCTGACTGACTTCCCTGCCTCATTCTTCTAAGGGCCCTGTGCTTATGTTGGGATCCTTAGAAAAAGATAATCTGGGATAATCTCTCCTTTCCAAGATCGTTAGTCACAGCCGCAAAGTCCCTTTGCCATGTAAGGTTAGGTGTGCCTAGTCATGTCCAACTCTCTGCGACCCCATGGACTGTAGCCCACCAGGTTCCTCTGTCCATGGAATTTTCCAGGCAAGAACACTGCAGTGGGTTGCCATTTCCTACTCCAGGGAAGGTTAGGTATAGTTCCGATTTAACTTAACATTTAAATGGAGATTGCTTTTTGTGAGCTCTCTTTACACAGATAACATCAACTATTCATGACAGCCCTGTGTGTGAATGTGAAATAAATAATAAGATAAATAGATAAATAAATAAAGTTTGCCTTGGCTTGTAAAAATCAACTGGTTTATAGTAATAATGACTTTAAAATGAGTAAAGAAAATAAAGTTACCTAAATATTTAAATTGACATATATCTGTTATGTATTTTTTTAAGAAAATGTCTTTAGCATATCAGATTGGTTGATTTCACTTATTTGCAAGATTTTTAAATTATATAATAATCAATTATATAGTTCTATATAGGGACATCAAATTGGTGATATCAGAAAAAGTAAAAACAAGTTTTAGCTCTGTTAGTTCCAGTGAAAACTAATTTGGTTGTCTTATAATTTTAAATATTGGTAAATATTGATATTTCAAAGAATTATACTAGGTCAGTGTTTTACAAATTGTATTTTTTGGAGCACTAACCTTTGGCTATGTGCTCAACAAAATAAAGCTTCAAAGTCAAATAAGCTGTGGAAAAGCTGTATTTTTATATACCCTTCTGAGAGCTTCACAATTAACATCAGTAGATAAAGGCTCTGAGAAATCCTGTGGTGAACTTGTTTAACTTGCTTATCTTAGTATTTGTCAAATCTATTTAACTATGGAAACCTCTTTTATATAATACTTAGTAACATGCTGCAGAACTAGTATTCCACAGAACACAACTCAAGGATAACTGTTGCCTTTTCCCGAAAGTGGTGCCGAAGGGGAAGAAGGAAGCCCCTGCCCCTCTCAAAGCTGAAGCCAAGGCAAAGGCTTTGAGGCCAAGAAAGCAGTGTTGAAAGGCGTCCACAGCCACCAGCAAAAGAAGATCTGGAGGTCACCCACCTTCCAATGGCCCAAAACACTGTGGCTCGGGAGGCAGCCCAAGTATCCTTGGAAGAGTGCCCCTAGGTGAAAGACAACTGACCGCTACGCCATCATCAGATTCCCCCTCACCACCGAGTCAGCCGTGAAGAAAACAGAGGGCAGGACACACTGGTGTTCACGGTGGATGTCAAGGCCAAACAGCCCCAAACTACACAGGCTGTGAGGAAGCTCTGTGACATTGACATGGCTGAGGAAACACCCTGAGCAGGCCTGATGGAGAGAAGAAGGCGTATGTTTGACTGGCTCCTGACCATGCTGCTTTGGATGTTGCCAACAAAATTGGGATCATTTAAACTGAGTCCAGCTGGCTAATTCCAAATATAAAAGTTTTCACTATTAAAAAAAGAAAAAGAGCAACTGTTATTAAGCAAAGTATGAATTGCTTAAAAAGAGGTATTTTTTCAGCTTTCTTTCTGATCCACAACAAAATACAAAGGAATGTGGATACAATGTAACTCTAGTGTTTACCATAACACAACAAATTTTTTAAAGCCACTGAGGTCTACTAAAAAACATATTATCTATATGTAAGTTGTTGTCCAAAGTCTGTATTTCCCTAGGAATCCCTACAGTATAATGTTATGTTCCACAGACAGCACCCCCATCACCACACCCCCATCATCACCAGCAGAAATCTTGGCCAGGCTGCAAGAGAGCTTGGCTTACCACCTCTAACATCTTAACTAGTTTCTCCAGGATCTCTCACTTGCTTTCACTATATCCCTCAGGATTCTCCCTTAGTTTCTCAAAGAATGGAAGTAATTTTACTGAAGATACTGGGATGACAGAAGTATAATACAGAGATGGCCTCACAGTGGTTTCCAAGTGTAGCCAAGAGGCCCGCAGTACAACAGCTCTCAGGCCTTCCAGGAGCCTGCATCACAGTGAGTCTTGTCATTAGGAATCTCCAGGCACCTTCCTACCATGGAGCCCCTGTGCTGGTCATCCTGGGGCAGGGACCCTAGGCTGGAAGGGAGGACTTCATCCTCTCTCTGGGTCCAAAGTTTGGGGAACTTTTTCTTTAGGCAAAACTCCCTCTACAATCTGCAGGATGTGGTCTGACCCCCAAAACCTAGACAAAGCAATTACAGAGAGGGCCTTTTCCAGTCTCCTTTATCATAAATAACTCCACATCAGCCCCTCACAATCCAATGTAAGTGATGGTACACAGAGTGGGAAAGTTTTATCCTTAGTCCTCTCCGTCAGTGTGAGGTAAAGGAAAATAATAAGCCTCCACCTTTACCTTTAATCTTTATAATCTGTTTGAGCAAATGCTTGGACCAAAAGGGCATGCACATATATCTAGATGCATACACGCTTTCAGTCTTCTAGGAAGAAACCAGACTTTGGGGGCATAAGGCAAACTATCCAGAAATAGAAAAGATAAAAAAAAGTTTTTGAACTGTAGGATTTCATTCTTCTGAAGTGAGGATTCATCCAATTGATGACACTAATCAGAACACTCACTAACTTCAAGGGTCTTAAAATCATCAATCACAACAGGAAAAATTGCTCATTATTTTCCTTATATGCATCTGTAAAACCAGAGAGACCATTTTGGTAAAATTCTAAATTCAAGCTTTCTTGAAAGGTGAATAATCTCTGCTTTAAGGCTAGCTTTGGCACCACACTCTAGTTTAAGGAAAAAAACTGAAGTCTACCATACATAGTGATTTACTCATTCCAGAGTCACTTCTCTAGTAACTTGGATGGTAGCAAAATAAATTTCTGATCTACAGAAGATGATATAAATAATATACCTTAAAACCTTATCATATGGCTTCCCTGGTGGTCCAGTGGTTGGGAATCTGCTTGCCAGGGTGGGAGACACAGGTTTGATCCCTGGTCTGGGAAGATCCCACATGCCGTGGAGCAACTAAGCCTGAGGGCCACAACAAGGGAAGCCACCACCACCTACTGAAACTAGAGAGTAGCTCTCAGCTCGTTCACAGCTGGAGAAAGCCCAGACACAGCAATGAAGAACCAGCATAGCAATGAAAAGTCAGCACAGCCAATAACAATAATCTTAAAAAAAAAAAACCGTTTCATAGAAGATCTTTCTCAAGATATTGACTTAGAGCCTCTTTTTATTTTTGAAATAATTTAAATAACTTGGTGTTTGGCTTTGCCCTCCACAGCAGATTTGTGATAGCAGTCAGCACAGAAATGAGAGGCTTACCCCAATAGATGGGGGCAGAATCGGGTCAGCGCTGCTACGTGGTAGAGATACACCTTGGGGAAGTTACTTCATCCGCCACCAGTTTTCTCATCTGTACGGTGTGTGTACACACCTCGTAGAACTGGTAGTCACCTCAACACCTTGTGCTGAGAATCAGGGAGAGAAGGCCTAGGCCCTGGGACACAAGCACCACAGTAATCCGAGTAGAGAAGAGCAAGAAGCAGGCACTCTGACAACAGTAAGATGAAACTATTTTGAGCCAGAGAATGAGAAGATGCCATCTGTGTAGTGATCTGTTCTAGAATTCCTAGGATCTACATCAAGTAGTCTTTTTTGCAATTCACCTTTAAGTTCATTCTGAAAAACGAAGCATTAGCCGGTTTTTCCTACTCTCCAAAATTCTTTGATTTCTGCAAACTTATTCATTTTTACCTCTGGTTACAGGTTGTTACTGGCCTGGAAACTGGTCCTCATTACCAGTTGCAAAGGGAGGTCTAACTCTTTTCAACTGTGGAGGGCTTAGTTCATGCACATGGCCTTCAGCTCATGTCCATCCTATGTTTTTTTTTTTTTTTAATCTTTTGGGGGCTTCCCTGGTGGCTCAGTAGTAAAGAATCCACCGGCCAATGCAGGAGACACAGGTTGAGTCCTTGGTCTGGGAAGATCCCATATGCCACTGAGCAACTAAGCCCATGCACCACAACTACTCAGCCTGTGCTCTAGAGCCCAGGAACCGCAACTCCTGAACCCGTGAGTGGTTGCAGAGCCCTCTCTAGAGCTCTGCGCAGAAATGAAAGAAGCCAGTGCTCCACAACAAGAGAAGCCACCACAATGAGAAGCCAGTGCACTGTAGCTAGAGAGTAGCGCCTGCTTGCTGAGACGAAAGAAAAGCCAGCACAGCAATGAAGACCCAGCACAGACAGACAGAAAGAAAGAAAGAAAGAAAGAAATCAATCAATCAATCAATCAATCAATCAACCAATCAATCTATCTATCTATCTTTTGGCCATGCCAAGCAGTGTGTGGGATCTTAGTTCCCCAACCAGGGAGCAAACCCTTGCCCCCTACATTGGCAGTGTGAAATTTTAACCCCTGGACCACCAGGGAAGTCCCCATCCCATCTTTTCAGTTTGAAGATAATTTCTCTTAATGAAGAACCTCGAACTGAATAGCTCTGACTTTAGCTGTAAACAGGGTACCCTTCTCCAAATTCTAGGCCTTTCCGTGATTTCTTGCTATAATAGATTTCTTTCCCCAGAATACCCTATTTTTGCTTCCTTTGGTATTTTCGTAAATTTTTATCTAAGTTTCTTGCCAATCTCCTTGATAAGAAGACTCCATTAGAGTATGTTTTCTTTGAATCTGCTATTGTGCACCTTTTTACACATACAGGTCTCTTTGGAAACTAAGCTCAGTTGAAAGCTAACTCCCTAATGTAGCTATATAGGTTTCTTTAGATGTCTCCTTTTTTAAATCAATGCAGCTTCAATTGTATTTTCAGAATTTAACTTACTAGAATTTCATATTTATCACCCTTGAATCATATTTTAAAGTCTCTGACTGTGCAATAACAGTTGATTTTTTAAAAGGCTGATCTCTTCCTTTAAAGCCCCGGGTAGCTGTTTGAATATGCCCAAGGTTACACTCATTCTCTAATATCCAAGAACTCTGAGGTATCACAGTTTCCTTTTCCCAAGGTTCTCTTCTATCTGATCAACCAGATGAAAACTTTTTTAGTCAGTTCTAAGACAACTAACAATTCACCTCACTGCTTTCTCAGCTTCTAAGAGATCAAATTGTCATATGTGCTAATGTAGCACCTTCACTTGCTTCATACTTAGGTCATGTTTTATTATGAAAAATTCAGTAACACTGGAGATATTTCTGCTTAGAACAAAATTTTTCAAACTGAGTCATTAGTGAGTTATAAATCCATATGCACTACAACCAGCTTTATGAAATGAAAATAGAAAAGTAATATAATAGAAAAATAGCCAAGTGCACTGCATGTCATAAAAATAAGTATTGTTTTGTGAAACCTCTAGTTTTATGTGTATGTATGCAGTAGGTACTCTTGTATGACATAAAATGTATTTTGTGGTAGGGGTCATGGAATAAAAACTTCAAAAACCGTCATCTTAGATGATAATATATTACTTGTATTGCTGAAAGGAAAAGAACAGAATGTAAAATTTTAGGTTAAATCATGTTTACTATATGTTAATACATAGGCATACATGTGTACATATATATATATAACTGTAGTGCAAAACATAGAAACATAACTATTCTGCTGATTTTTACCACTTCATCTGTTGATAGAAGGTAGTATAAGAACTTTAGCAGCTGTATTTTAGCTAAAATTATGTGATAATGCATTTTTAGATGCCTTTTAAGAAATATAGCCTTTGTGAAAATATTCAATATATTTATTCCTAGATTTCAGAACTGTATTTTAGTACTAGAAAAATCCAGTAACTTGTTGAATCAAATTACTGTACATTCACTGACATCAAATAGCACATGAAAATATCTTATAATGTCCAATTTTATGTTTCCATTTTCTTTCCCATGAAGGGTGACTGGTGGTCACATGGTAAAGGACTGGAAGATCCCTTCCAACCACCTTATGACACTAAGAGCACCCAGAGGAGTGACTTTAAGAAGCCAACATGTCCATTGGTTTCTCCAGTCAAATACAGCAAGTTGCAAAAGCCTTCTTACGGAATAGGTAAGGTTAGCACATCTCCATTGTCTCAAGTTACTGCTCTCAAATTAAGATGTATTAGATGTGCTTTTACCTCCTGGGAAGAAACAGTCCTCTACAGGAGGTGAAAATATATATGCAGCAAGGGCAACCCTTGACAAGTTTGTTTCTCATCCCCTCCTGGTGGACAAGTTAGCTCTAAACATGTTTAATACAACACAATAAAAATTGTAATGATCACTGAAACACTAGCCTCCAAGTTAGAAATATAGTGGCATTCTGCTCATTATTGCCAGTAAACTTTTAAAACTGTAGCTGTTAAAATAGGAGGCAACTCTAACAAGCAGTATTTCTCAAAGTGAACACTGAGGGACACTAGTTTTTATGATGTTTATAGATACTGCTCAAAAAAAAAACAACAGGGAAAGGGGAAAACAATGTATAAAGTTAAACAGTTTTTTTCTTACTACAGAACTCTTAAAACCCTTATTCTAAGCATAAGCATAATGAATTTCCAAGAAGAGGAATGAAGTATGCTATGTTTGAATGTAAAAGACAACTTCATCCTTTTCAGAAGATCATTTACATGACTGGTATCTCACAAAACATAATTTAGGAAATACTGTTCTATACACTATTCATATATTTTGAGATCTAAAATTTGCTTTACCTGATGGCATCACTATCATATCTAAGTCTTTCACATTTATTCAATTTGTTTCTGTTTCTTAACCCAGTCCTACTCATCTCCACCACAGGAGTAAGAGTTTTTAGCAAGCCTTCCCCCCCAACCCCCACATTTAATAAGTTACTTTTACCATAATGAGGAATGATTTCTATTTTTCTAAGCCAACTAAAAAAGTCTAGGTCGACTGACTTTACTGGTGAAATGAAGTAAAACATGGCTCCCTCCTCCCCCAAATGACTACCAAAAAAAAAAATTCACTTGAGTTCTTTCACTTAAGTGAATTGTATTTGAGCAATGACACTAATATCAATACATGTTTAGAGATAATAGTGCTTCACTATTTTCAAGGCTGAGTGGTGGTTTAACATGGTCTGGGAAGAGCCCAGGTAATTACCTATAAAGAAAGAACCATTTCTGTTAGCTCTTGTCCCAAATGTGAATCTCCATCAGTATTAATTAACTAGAATACTTCCAATAAAAAACTGCAGCCTATGTATGTTTAAGGGTTTATTTGGGAATACAGTTTTTAATAATTCTCTTTTTTGATCCATGGACTGCATTAGTAGCCCACCAGGCTTCTCTGTCCATGGGATTTCCCAAGTAAGAATATTGGAGTGGGTTGCCATTTCCTTCTCCATTTAGCAAGTCTTCAAGCCAGCATCAAGCTTGCCAGGAGAAGTATCAATAACCTCAGATATGCAGATGACACCACCCTTATGGCAGAAAGTGAAGAAGAACTAAAGAGCCTCTTGATGAAAGTGAAAGAGGAGAGTGAAAAAGTTGGCTTAAAACTCAACAGTCAAAAACCTAAGATCATAGTATCTGGTCCTATCACTTCATGGCAAATAGATGGGAGAATAATGGAAACAGTGACAGACTTAATTTTCTTGGGCTCCAAAATCACTGTGGATAGTTACTGCAGCCACAAAATTAAAAGATGCTTGTTCCTTGGAAGAAAATCTATGACAAATCTAAACAGTGTGTTAAAAAGCAGAGACATTACTTTGCTGACAAAGGTCTATATAGTCAAAACTATGGTTTTTTCCAGTAATCATGTATGGATGTGGGATTTAGACCATAAAGAAGGCTAAGTACCAAAGAATTCATGCTTCTGAACTGTGGTGTTGGAGAAATCTCCTGAGAATCCTTTGGACAGCAAGGAGATCAAACCAATCAATCCTAAAGGAAATAAACCCTCAATATTCATTGGAAGGACTGATGCTTAAGCTGAAGCTCCAAAACTCTGGCCACCTGATGCAAAGAGCCAACTCATTGGAAAAGACCCTGATAGTGGGAAAGATTGAAGGCAGGAGATGGGGACGACAAAGGATGAAATGGTTGGATGGCATCCCCAACTCAATGGACATGAGTTTGAGCAAATTCCGGGAGATGGGGAAGGTCAGGGGAGTCTGGTGTGCTGCAGTCCATGGGGTGGCAAAGAATCAGAAATGACTGATTGACTTAACAAATAGAAGTACAGGATCAAGTCCAAACAAAAAACTATTTATTGAGCACCCCCTCTGTTCTCACCCTATACAAAAGTTCACAAGATAAATATCAAATTTTTTGAACCCAACAGTAGGCAGTGAACGATTACTTTGAGGTTAACAGTCCCTCAGTTGTAGCCTTCTGGCCTCAGTGACTGCCCAGTCTAGTTAAGGATACAAAAGGCAGCTAGACTGAAGGGCGAATATTAGAAAATGGTCATATTTAACATGATTTCTACCTCAAGAGAGGCAATCAATAGGGGGGGCAAGCCATGAGATAATCTATAACGATGGTGTCTCTTTTAGGAATGTAATAAGGTTTCCACTTCTAATTCAAGATGGTAGACTGAGCAGAAACATCTAAATCCCCTGCCTCCCACAACCCTATTACATGATACCAAAGCAGTCAACCCCCAAAGACCCATGAAAGTGAGAAGAATGGAAGGAAGAGCTTTCTGACATGTGAGAAGGAGTGGAAGACTGTTGATGGATAAAAGACAGGAAAGAAGCAATAATCTAGAATATGTAGAAGGAGACACAACAAAGAAGAGCCAGTCTGCCTGAAAAAACAGAAGTGTCTGAAGGCTCAGTCAGGAGACAAAGTGAAATGGAAAGTGTAGAGGGAGAATTAGAGGGTTACTTAAATAACTTCTCCAGTCATGAGCACTCTACCCTCTCCCCACAATGGCTGCTAGAGTCCAGTGTCTCAGCCAGATGTCAACTACCACACTAGTTAGTTCAGTATTTAAAACTGGTCTCCTATCCTATTCTTAACTTATGAATGGACAACCAAAGATGAGAATTACGCCAAATTATATTTTTTTTTAGTTTGGAGCATAAAGTCAAGAAGACATCACAGAGCATAAAAAAACAAAGACAAAAACCTTAGAAAATATGAGAGAATAAAAACAAAATAGAGAATCAATCTTGGAGTTCCAACTCTTCTGGAGCTCCAGAAAAGAGTAAAAATAAAAGAGAGAGAATTATCCACACATAAGATTTATTGAAAGTGAAAGCACTGGTCTCTCAATCGTGTCCCCAGGTCTCCTGCATTGCAGGCAGATTCTTTACAATCTGAGCCACCAGGTAAGCCCTAAACATTTATTAAGCCTATACTATCTGCCAGATACTTTATGAACCTTCTAAATGTTAACTCATTCAATTCTCACAGCAATATAATGGAATATAACATTAATAGTATAGGTGGCACCAGTGGTAAAGAATCCGCCTGCCTATGATCCCTGGGTTGGGAAGATCCCTTGGAGTAGGAAATGGCAACCCACTCCAGTATTCTTGCCTGGAAAATTCCATGGGCAGAGGAGCCTGGTAGGCTACAGTCCATGAGGGTCACAGAGATTTGGACATGACTGAGTGAGCACAATACTATTAATACTCTCATTTTTCACATAAGAAACCAGAGTTTAAGAGTTTTAAAAAATAATTTTCCCAAGGCTACACAGCAAATGACTGGTGTCTGAACTCACTCTGACTCTAGTGCCTGTAAAAATAACCAGTACTTGGACGTCCCTGGCAGTCCAGTGGTTAAGATTCTGCACTTCCACTGCAAGAGACTCAGGTTAGACCCCCGGTTGGGGAACTAAGAACCCATATGCCATGCAGCAAATATTAAAATTAAAAATAACCAGTATTCTACACAGCCTCTAAAATAATAATAATTCCCCAAATAAAAGAGAGTCACTGAAAGAGTCCACTGAGTACTTCAAAATATGAAGGGGAAAAAAAAAAGAGACACACCTACACGTCACTATGAAACTGTAAAACAACAATTATAAAAAGATTCTAAAAGTTTCCATTAAAAGAAAACTAAGTCACCACCTAAGGAATAAGTATATGGAATTAAGTAACACCGATGGAAGAGCACAATGGAGTTAATGTCTTCAAAGATCTCAGGGGAAATCATCTTTAACCTAGCAAAGGGGATTCTATTTGACATGTACACTAGAACCTTTTTTAACCCCTAGTGGCACCGGGTATTAGATCAAATGAGAAAGAAATGTAGTACTAGCACAATATTTGGTCATTAAATGAACAAAATTCATATAATTGTTAATATATTGTAAACAGTATATAGTAGTTTTCAACTTTTAGCATCACTCTATAGACACAACATAGAAAATTTAAAGCTTCCCTGGTGTCTCAGACTGTAAAGAATCTGCCTGCAATGCAGGAGACCCAGGTTCAATACCCAGGTTGGGAAGATTTCCTGGAGAAGGAAATGGCAACCCACTCCAGTATTCTTGCCTGGAGAATTCCATGGGCGGAGGAGCCTAGCAGGCCACAGTCCATGGGGTCACAAAGAGTAGGACATGACTAAGCAACTAACACAAACACACAGATCAGACACAACCTACTTTATCTCCAGAAAGTCATGTTTGTTTCAGAACCAGGTACACAGGTGAAAACTGGTTCTGAAATAAACATGACTTTTAAAGAGTATTCTCTACCTCCTTGGTCTGAGTTATGTACTCCTTCTCTAAATCCCCATACCATGATATCAGGACCAGCAGAAGATGAAGTAGGTAGATCTGGCTGGTCAAATAGGATCACACAGACCATAGCAAAGAATTTGAAATTTGTTCTACAAACAATGAGAAATAACTGGAGGTTCTAAACGGGGAGAGTGATATCATTTATGTTTTTAAAAGATCCTTCCAAGGATCTGAGTTTTTTTAAAAAAGTAATTTTTTCTATAAAACATTCCAAGTTGAATGCTTTAGAAAAGACTTGCTAAAAGGTCATTCACTAACTTAAAAATGTCAATTAAGAGTGGGTAAAATAACTATAAAAGAAGAGAGAGAGCGAATTTTTTAAATCTTGAAGGACACAGT